GGGAGCATTGGTCGGCGAACGGGAAGCAAGGCGAGGAGCGTGAAAAGTCAGGAGGCGATCCGAAAAGGTTCGGCCGGGCCGGGGTCGGGCGGGGCGGGCGCGCCGGCATTTGGGCGATGGGCGGGGTCGAGGGAGCGCTTTTCGCAGACGGGCAAGGGCCGGCGGCAGGCCGAGGAGCGACGGGGCGGAAGAGGCGCAGACGGAAGTTGGGCAGCGGCCGCTGCCGGGAGGCGGGGGCGGGTCCCAGACAGCCGGCGCGGTGGCAGATGCTATCTGGGCGGGTGGTAATGGAGCGCCGCCGCCGCCGAGCTCGTTACGCGCGCGCTGAAGGCAAACACCTCCGTCCGCGGCGGCGGCTAACGGACCGCCGGGGGAACGGGATCGCTCCAACTGCGTAATGAATGAATTCGCACGAGCACCTCGCGTGAGGGCACGTGCGGCTCTCTCGCTCGCTCCCAACCATCACCGCAACGCCCGATGTCGAAAACTTTCCTGCGGGATTACGGCGCCCTTGCGAATACGAGTACTGCCACGTGCCTGCGAATCGCTGCCGGCATGTAACACATTCTGCGAGGCAAAAGGACATTATTAAAAGTGGAATGGCATGGGTTACAATGATATATATTTAAAAAATTAAATGAAAGAAGCCCTTTGGCACGTCCGCATGAATTTAACAAGCCACGCAATTTAACAGACTTCTGTAAGGTAATACTTTAAGACCAATAAAAAGTATAATACGCACCAGTTGACTTTAACAGAACTATTAATAGTATTTTCATTGGACGCCCGACAATAATAATAATAAATAATAATAATAATAATAATAATAATAATAATAAATAATAATAATAAATAATAAATAATAATAATAATAAATAATAATAATAATAAATAATAATAATAATAAATAATAATAATAATAATAATAATAATAATAATAATAATAGGTAACAACAATAATAAAACAGTCGTTTTTTTTGCTATCTGACGACCCAGACAATTGGCTCTAGCTAAAATAAGTAAGGAAGTAAAACGTCGGAATACGTAGTAATCGGTGGCATGATAATCATACGAACTTCTATCGATACTATTTGCGAGTATGTTTGCAGTAGTAGACAAGACAGCACACAAAAAGCTCTTCATCTGTAATAACATCGCAACAAAACCAACAATTGGTCCTGAGCACGGTGGCTAGAGCGTACATCGTCATAGTGCCGTGGTTCAAAGAGTCGCGTTTAAAATGTTACTTTTCGCATGGATTTCGTCCGTTGCCTTTCTTGACACGCTGGCTTGTAGAGAACGACGTGGTGACCCCGTAATCGAGAAGTCCGCAAATGAGAGTCTCGAGTCTTGACCGATGAAAACCTTTACGGGAATGTTGTGTAACCGGCACAAGCTAAAAAACAGCCCACATAAAAATAAAAGTCACCTCGCTCTCTCGCCGAAGCAAGTACAGGTTCTCTTTCACAGCGTCTCCGATGCTACATCAGGTCAAAGCACTCCGCCTCACACATCACAGGTTCAAGCCGATTTTCTCCAGAATAAATCGGCGCATGAGCTACCCATAATTATTCATGACCACTCCGCTCCCACTGCGGTAAGAGGGCCGTCGACTAAAAGTGAGAGGAGGAGCGGCGGTGCACCTCGTGGCTGGCCGGGCCGGGCCGGGCGGCGCCCGGGGCGAGAGTTGCACCGGCTGGCAGGCGCGAGGAGAAAATGGCCAAGGCCTACGGGGGGCCGTCGCCGCCGGGCGGCGCCGCGCCGGACGCGAAGTGGAGCGGCCGGCGAAAGTGGTGGATCATCCCCCGCCGGCCACGGCCGTCGTGCTTTCTCCCCCCCTTCCCTCTCGAGCCCTTTCTTTCCTCCGCTCCGCCGGCGGGTGGACGGGCGGGCGGGCGAAAGCCGAGAAAGCGACGGGCCGGGTTCGAACTCTGAGAGGAGGCGCGACGCGGGCTTCGATTTCGCGCTTCTTGTGTGCCTTCTTGAGACGGATGTGCACTTTTCAGGAGAAACCATTTTACACAGAAAAGTACCTAAAAATCAGAATGGATTCAGGGAAGGAAACGTAATGTAAGTAGAGAAAAACGTATTTTGTCATTTTACGTCTAGAAAGACACCGTCACAGATGTGTGGGAAATTATGTGATATGAATAATAAACATTCAAACAATATTTGCTCAAAATAAAATATCCCTTCTATGTATGACATACACAAATGAAAGATAACACTTTTCTATCATTTACAACGCAAACACAAAAATGTTAACAGTTAATTAGGGAATTACCTCCTTTCAAGGGCGCTAGGCCTTTAAAATAAGGTTTTCGGTTTCCTAACTGTTCACGAGTTAGGTTTCATACAATGTAATCTATTTTAAGGGTTGAATTTGATCCTTCCCTTTATCGTTTGGGAAGTTTAGCTACTCTGGTTAGCACTCTCTCTAGCACAGGTAGTCAAAAAATTAGGAATCTCGATACATACAAACGTTTAAAATACATATTTGATATTCTTTGAGATTCACCCCTGTTTCTGTTCGCACTATTTCTGATGATAACCGCTTAACAATATTAGACATTATTAAATAATTTCTAGAATTTAAATACACAGTCCTAGTAGAATTCGCAGTTAGACTTATTTCGGACACACTAGAATCGAAACCAATCTTATTAGTTGCCAAAGATGAGTAATGTAATATTATAAAATCTTCTGGATACCACCAGCGTAGATTCGGATTGTCGATCCATATCGGCACTACAATTTTGACAATTTATTCGACTGCGCATACGGCAAAATGCTTTAGCTTAACGTAATAAGAAATTGTATGGTGAAGTTTACAGGTGGCAGCTACAGTGGAAAGAAGACATATCTAGAGTAGTAAGAAAACGCGTAAGTCAAGCACAGAAGAAAGTGCACACATGCAATTCTTTGCTTTGCAAGAAAGACATGTTCCAAGAGCATGTTTTGCTGATGGTGGCTTGCCAAAGCTTCACGCCAATGACCGCCAAAGTAGAACAACGCCTTACTTATCCATCGCTGTCGTTTCCTATCATTCAGCAGTTACAATTTAGCACCATCTTCACACACATGCGCGCGCGCGCGCACACACACACACACACACACGCACACAAAATTAAACGCGTATATCCTCACGAGGTCTTGCTCCAACAATAAACCCAATGCCTCTACGTACGTGAGCAGGGCCGAAGGCTAGTGCACAATCGGAACCCTTTTCAGACACACCGCCACACATGGCTAGCCACCACAAACGACATTCACAGCTGGCAGCCCCGCATCCGATCGCTTCGCCGGGCGGCCGGGCGGCCGGGCGTAGCTCCAGGCGCCGCGCCCCGGCCCGGCACCCGCGCCGCCCGCGCCGCGCGATCGCCAGAGCGTGGCCGCCAACCCACGTCAAACCCATTCTAATTGGACGCCTCCTCCTAAGTGGCGCTATTTCTATCATTACGTCCGCCACTTCACTGCAGACGCGCTCGGATTAAGGTAGCCGCTCTTAAAGGGACCTAGCCGCGAACTCGCCTCTCGGCACAAGAGCTTTCTGTGTTAGAATTCATTGAAGGATTGCAACCAACATGCTGGTAATAGGCATCAACAAATGAACCTACTTTCGTGGATACACTTCTACGATCATAATTAACTTCATCAGGCTTCCGCAGCTACAGGCAAGGAAATCTCGCGTGCCATGAGACAGTGTCGTCCGAAATGTTTCCGTTTTCACGGCCACGCCAAGGTCTTCACGTCATTCCCAGAATAAGGTCGTAGAATGTCGGTTGAAACGTTGGCAATATTGGCTATAATATCGCCAGGCGCGGTATCTCCTCGACAGCCAATATCTAATCGAATAATGGAACACCACCAAGTTCATGGGCTTCGACACACACGCTGACCCTACTCAACGCCACGGTGTGTTAACCATCCTACCAATCTCTATCGAGTTTCCGAAATTAATACCCTATCGAAATAAAAAAAAAAAACACTGGGACTGCACTCCCACACGATGGCGGGGCTAACGTTCACATAAAATGTACATCGTAACAAGGCTGCTAAATAATGATGATACAACCAAGTGCAAGTAACATTTCGCATTCTCTGCCATAACAAGGTGTTTCTTTCTCATCGCGTGCGCGAAATAGCGCGCCAGAAATTTCTCACATTAAAAAAATGAGTAAGTACTGAACTCAGTTCTCCAAGTTGTGTGCAGTGTTGGAAACGTTGGTATCCCGGGTTAGTTTCCCCCAAATTATGGTAAATATTCAAATGATACATATTCCCTAATCATATATTGTAATGATTAAATCGGCAACAACAGTTCGTAAACGCTTCCTTCTGAGTGATGTGTCATCAAATTGCGAAGTCCTGTAAGAGACTTATCTCTATATGAAATGTCAGGAGATTTACTACAAAACGGCCACCGATTCCTGTTGCTCATTTAGCGAATAATTCTCTTCATAACTGCCACGGGCGTGAGCAAAGAAATCCGTTTTATTATCATTATTATTATTATTATCATTATTATTATTATCATTATTATTATCATTATCATTATCATTATTATCATTATTATTATTATTATTATTATTATTATTATTATTATTATTATACAGTTTATTCTTCTTTGAATTGACACATGCAGTTTTTTGCCAACTTGGGTCTTTGATATTATCTTGATAGATCTCTCTCATTCTTGTTTTTTATGACTTTACAACTTCGAATCAACAAGAGTCATGCGACACTTGTAAGTACTCGTAGTACGGAGTTCGAGAGGACTGCTTTCTCGATTGAATCTTTATTGGTGGCGGTGTTGCCAAAGCGGCAAGCATCTCTCCTCCCTCAGGTGCGAAGCTCGTGCACGGAACGTATCTGCAATAAACAGCCCGCGACAGCCAATAAATAACATTTCTCCCCCTCCGGTAATTTTCCGCACCTGAAAAGCCGCGTGTCGGGCGGGCGGTGGTGTGACACCGTCGCCGCCTCCTCCGCCCAGGGCGTCACAACGACACCTCCGTTGCTGCTGGCGCAATTTCCGCCCCTCCCCCTCCCCATCCACCGCCCGAAGGGGGCGGCGCGATACCAGTCGCCTGTAACGAGTCTCTCAATGGCCGCGCTATCGACACGCCGCGCAGCGCCGCGCCGCCACAATGGGCACGATCCCGAGACACCGCGCACAATGTCCCCCTCCCCCGGCGCCACGCCGTGCAGCAGCGCTGCGAGCCGCCCAGCTCCTCCGGTAATGGAAGAATGGGGGCACGATAGGGTTGTGAAATTACGTGAGGAGATGCAACGTACGGATACCGCAGCACATTGAAGAATCCCTGCGTCGAAGGCATGAGACACTAAGAATCTTACATTAGCAATTAACGTTTCTTATATAAAATGATGCGCGTTTAACATAAACATATTGGTTCATGATATTTATAGCTAATAATTTATTGTTATAATTCAAGTTGAATTTTCACAAACATTCTATATTTTACTTCTGCAAAAGGGGAAAACATCCTACAGTAATAGAGAGAAAAATTCATAATTAATAAATTAATATGAATTGCAAGTATTTCGAGTTAGTATTATGTTTTATCTACACCCATAATATAGTTTCGACTATCCTGCCCACAACCATCGATTTACCAGTACCCCCACCGATACTGCCGTTATCGGAAACAAAATATCGATTCTAGAAGTATCGGAAATTCCGCAACGTTCCTCGCCAGGCATTCCAATTTCACGAGAGGGCGCGCTGCACAGCGCCAACGACCGGCGCTCCGCCCGCAGCGGAGTAATGGCTATCTCCTGCATATGGCAGCGGCTGGCTCCGGCAGGCGTCCGGCGGCCTTGGGCCGGGCGCGAGGCCACTCGAACACCGAGAGGTGACTGACTCGCATTGCGCGTCGCACTCGTTACACGAGATGTATGTGGACGGTAACGCCCGCGCCGTGTTGGCGTTCGCGGAGTCTGGTGGGAACGAAACGAAATGTCCGCTGAAAAGCGCAAATGAACGAGTTGTGCGACGTTAACTGCGCTTTACAGGTGCGTAATTTTGATTTATGAATCTCGGCACTACCCCGTAAACACAATATATGTTCACTGCTTTGCATTGCGAGTTAAATTATCTTCCCGTGCGGGATCGTTAAATACATGCAAAATGCGGCCAAAATGTCATTTCGTTCGAATATGTACCATCAAAATATTCTGCTCAGCGGACTGGAGAAGGGGGTATTTTTGTAAGGTTACAAAGTAGCACTAAATTTGCAACTAGAATGCAAGAGTCAGGACAAAGTTTCAGTACGTGCATTTTTGTGCTCATTTCACCGCATGCAAATAGTTTGTTGAGAAAATGAAGACAGCGTACCGTTCTAACGTACAACGGACACTAGTCAAATACTCTTAATTTACTACGAATGACAGGCTTTTCTCGATATAGAGTGCTGCACATATACCATGATATGGATTACACTCCACACTTTGATTTCAAGTATGTACCAAAGTTTTTCTATACAATAATATCATTGAAGCTATTGTCCTTAACTCCCTTTGATTGTTCTAAATGAAGTAAACGATAATAGATGAATCATAATAGAATGGCAATTCACTGAAAATAGAGTTAACATGTAGGATCTACATCAACTTCGCAACTTTTTTACTTTCAAGACCATTCAAATTAATGTATCAACTATGCTTTCCTTATATATCTGTCAACTAAGAACCTTATGATATCACAAGTTTTATTTACAGAAGTAAATAAAAAATGAAACAGCTTCTTCGTGATCGTTCGCATACTATCACTGATTATACAGCTAGATGCCGCTCGGAAGTGAATCAGTGGGATTTGCTGCTTGCATTCTGAATTATATTATCAGTCATACGAAACACAAAAAGCAGACACCATGTATTTCAGCCAGTCACTAAAGAGTATTTGCCTCGCTTGATCGCTTTTTACCTTTGCATTCTATTGTTCTTATAGCAACATGTATATCATAATTAAAGTATTAAAAGTATACCTATATGTTCTGCAATAACTTTTCAACCAATGATTCCATTTTCACGAAATATTCTTTGCTGATTTAGTCTTCGAATTATTCAACATAAAAGTTTCATCCATAAATTCCATCATGGTTTTTTTTTTTTCCTTTAAGACAAAATATGGTTTACTGCAATCCGCAACTCACATATGTACTGCGAAGTAAGCAGTGCGGGTTGCGGACATACGGGGCTTGATCGGGGGAGGGAGCGGATGACTTCAGCTAGTTTAAAATAAAAAAAATTCTGAATACCCATTCCCTTGTTTCACAGTTTTAATTATATTACTTTGTTTTATTTTTTAGAATTTATGTATCACCTTGTTCAAAAGTAAAAAGAAAGAAAAAAAGAGAAGAAAGATCGGAATACTTGACATCAGGAATGGAAGCTATAAACAAATGAAAGAAGCACACAACAGAACAATACAGAGAACATAGAGTCGAAGCCTGTCGTAGGACAGTCTTCCTCGTAAGAGAAACATTTCTGCATCCGTATCACCGGCCAGTGTATCGCAATATTAAACACAACTGCCTCCATTCTTTTACGGCAGCGTATATTTCGTTTGTGCAAAATCGCACGAGGGAATCTCGAGATCTTACGACGCCCGGTTCCTCCTCTCTCTCTCTCTCTCTCTCTCTCTCTCTCTCTCTCTCTCTCTCTCTCTCTCTCTCTCTTTCACTCTGTGCGGCCGCCGCGCCGTCAGCTGGCGAAGGAAGCACGGATGTGTCAGGCAGCGGAAGCGCGCAGAGGTCCAAAAAGAATAAGCAAGCGTGTGCATGAAACGAAAAAAATAAATGTAATTAAAATAACAAATGAGTGAACAAGCTTTATTAGAAAAATAGTTTATGTGTAATCTTGGATGTAATATGTGTAAAATAATGCTTTATTATTATTATTATTATTATTATTATTATTATTATTATTAATATCGAATTGTCAAATTCTTATTAACTAAGAACTAAAAAAAGGGACATTTTCATTTCACTTTTTCCCCAATTGTGTAGATAACACATACACCGCAATTATTCATTTTTATTTATTGAATACTGAGCGGAAATCCGCGGAGGAAAAAAAAGCTGCCACGCGCGCTTTCGGCGGAAGAGCGGGCGCCTGTGCGGCAGCGAGGGCGGGCGGTGGAGAAATACGCCTGGCTGCGAAGTGTGCCTGTTAAGGTTTTTATTGCGCGCTGTTTCCGCAACGCTGCGGGGGCGAAGACTTTCATAAGGCGCGTTCCATCCATTCCAAATGAGCACAAAGCCGCGCGAGCAGCCGCGAGCGCCCGTCGCGCCGCCGCCCAGCGAGCCAACTACCCTCTTACCGCCGACGCCTCGAGTTCATTTTGTAACTAGGGCGGAGATGGTCTAGTGTACATGTGGTTGATGATTCTTATTATGGTCACATAAACGGATGAAAATATGAAGTGGCAGGGAGATGATAGTGGCGCATTCTGTTATAATAAAGTAGTGCCGGCTGAGATGACCCAAGCGACTGTTGTTAACCACTGCGGCGCCTCTCGGTGGCGGATTTTCGAGAATGGAGGAGAATTCTAGCAGGCAGGTGTTGTTATCAGTGGTTTTCCATCGTTGGTACGATATCTACTAGGCGAATGAACACCCTATCAAACGGATAATGGACCCTGCGCAATCGTTCCTTCCTCTTCCTCTCATCTTACACACACCTACATGTAGTATACAAATTTATGTACACGCATTACATTACGCATGTCGGGAGGACCAGTCCGGAGCTTAAAACTTGTGCAGGCTGGCAAAGTCGACATACAAGTCGGCTCAAGATATCAATATCCAGCGAGGTAGAATCACCGCCATCACTCTGAAAATGCACTACACTTAGAGGACAAACGACCATAGTTAACACAAAATAATCAATACGATAGGGCGATAAATAATCAAGTGATAAAATAATCAATGGATGTGATATTTGTATTTATTTTTGTGAAGAAAAGATTGTTGTGGAGGAAACTAGGAAAATGATTATGATTAATCTTTACGAACAGTAATTTGAACGGACGATGATTATGAGGAAGAAAAGCTGCTTTTCTTTCATTAATGACAGAGACAATGAAAATAGAGTTTTAAAAACCCAAGCTTCGTTGTGATATCAAGAATTAAAACTTTAATATTATTATTGCTATTTTGGAAGTGTAATGAAAATAACGTTCGTTTTGATGCAAACTTGCAAAATATTCCAGCTATTCTGCAGACTCGGAAAATGACACAGGATCTCGTCTCAATCACGTAGTTGTTTTTTCTGGAACCATACCTGCTTGAGGATTCTGGGTACGTAGATCCGAGCACAGTGGAGGCGTTCGGGAGGGCGGTCGACGCAGCGATGTGGGTCGCGTGGGCGCGGCGGCGGACGGGCAGGCAGGTGGAGGCAACAGGTGGCATTGATGGCGCGGAAGCGGAGGCTCCGCCCTTGTCCCTTACAGCCGTTCGCACTCTCCATCAGGCGGCCCTCGGGGGCGCGTGGCGCCAGCGCGCGGGGGCGGGGCGGCGAGGGGCCGGGCGGGGCCGAGCCGGGCCGGGCTGGGGACCGCCGCCGGAAGCGCGCGTAATTGCCGGAGCGCCGGCGTCGCGGGCGACGCCCGTTCGCACGCCGCCCGCGCCCGCGCCCCGCCCTCGCCCTTGCACCGACGACGCGTGGGCGATCGGGCCGCCTCCGCCGCTGCTCATCGTCGCCTCCCAACTTCCCCAGTCTCTTTCCATTTCATCAATTACGCCTTATTTTTACGTGGCGAGACTCAAGCCATCAGCCCCGCTCTTCCGTCTGACCGCAAAAATTTCGCCACTTTCACCATCCAGCGGAGAAACACGGTAGCACTCCGGCGACGACACAGGCGATTTTGAATTTAGCTCGGAGGCGTCTTTTAGGCTTGAGGATGTTCGAGTATTACGTGCAGTAAATCTACACGAGACAGCCAGCTTACTTCCCCTCCGCAGGAAGGCGTACAGAGGATCTTTTTGCCCATTAAAATTCACGGTTTCGATCGGGTTTTAAACTCGCAAACTCAGATATAAAAGCCCCATACACTAACCGTTAAACCTTCAATCGCGCCTTCTGTCAAAACGGTGGATTTGGGGGTTCGATATCAAAAAGCTGAAGATTTAGAAAAGTTCCAGTTATCGATCATTTCGAAATTTTGAGCACTAGAGAGTCTGGAGGTAAAATGGTTAAATTCATTGAAGAAATTATTTTGAGCCGTACGCTACCACTATAAACATCACAAATGTCATGTACTTAATTAATTAAGCCAACTTGGCGTAAAGGAATGCATTCGCAACTATGTTCGAGTTTCGCATAAGACACGGTGTTTTCACGGGTGCTATGCTTGGGACGTCGTTTGGCAAGACATGCAACCATGTCGTCTCCCATTGAATTATCATTTATCGCTTTAAAATTCCTCTTGAAAACCACGTTTCTGTTCTTGCGCGCCAACATCCATTTACGACAAGGCATTAGAGGAAAATAATGTAACGCAAAGGCGTCTACAAAAATGCAATGACTAATTCTCAATGATCTTTCAAAGCCCTCGGAAATGAACACATGGCCGCTTGTGCAGCGCGGAGCAGCCTAGTACCAACAATACGTATCATATTGGCTACGTGAGAACTTCAAGGTTTTTCACGCTCTTGGGCTTAACACCTGGCCCTGATGAGATGAGACGATGAAGAGCTGACGGATGCCTTGTCATTTTACATCGTGTTTCGCAGTTGCGAAAATATTGCACAAGGGACCAATGAAGTAATTTGAAAAAACCTTAAGAGAATTTTCCGTTGTCACATTCTGCTGAAGAAGCCAAGTCTAAATTAAACGACCTCATCTATTCTGATGTGAACGGGAAAGAGAAGATTCACTTTATTGAGGTACGTAGTGTTTGCGGGATGGGGGAAATTAATTCTCTCCAGGGCGTAAAAGGAAAGCTAAAAAATGAAAACATCCTTCAAAATAATAAAAGTTGATCAAGCAGCAAAACAATTGGTTCACCTCTTCCAATATTTTTATGACTTCGAGTCCATTCCTGGCTTATATCTCTGGCTTGTACATTGTTCCGCTCGTAATGTATCGATCATTTTAACGTAAATGGAGTAGGGAGATGTGATCATGACAACTTGAAGTAACAAACAACATTACAGTTATTGGCTTCTACGTGTACGAGGTAATTTATAAAAGGTAGGGCTCTTGATGAAAGGGACACAACATTTTTAGCGTCTTTTTTAATCGTCATTTTTGACGTCCGCATACACAGACGTATTGTTTTTCAACTAGAAGCAATGTGGGGGCGGGAAAATTTGCGTTTCACAAAGTTGTTCGGATAACGTAAAGGAGAGCGTAATTTACCCTTTTCTGACGCAAATTAAAACAATACGTGCATTTTCATAGGCTTTTTTACGATTAATTTAATTGTCTAGGCCCTTTACATCAGATCTATCCTTTCATCAAACTACTTCCTTCCAAATTCGGCTATGAAAACTAGTTTGTTTTTTAACCACTAAGTCGTTTCAACCCGACAAAAATTGTATGAAGTGTAACTGATAACTTTAGGAGTACTTCCTTTTCAAATGAATTCATTTAAAAAGTTCTATTGACCGAAATTTCTACTGGTCTAGTCCACATTAAAATACGTGTACGAAGTACGAACATAGGATGGCACTAGTACATTCGTTGCGATAATACTTCATGTTTGGTTCGTTAGAACCGATTTGGGTCATCCGCGTTCCTGCACATTGCGCACGCAATCGTCAACAACAGGCCCTGCCGCAAATAAACGGCTTTGTAACAAAAGATCAAAAGCTAGGTCATCTTTCAGCGACGCAGCAAGCGGACGCCAGCGGGCTAATCACTGAATGGGCTAATGGGGCCTCCCCGGCCGCAGACGTACGAACTCTTGTTCTGCGGCGCCAGCGGCGAGCGGCGAGCGGCGGCAAGTTCATTACCGCCTTCATTAACCAACCGAAACGCGGCCGCAACGTCCCGGCGCCGCCGACGCGGAGCGCCACCGCGGGGCGCGAGCGGGGCAAGGCACATCGCGGGGCAGCGGAGGTCAGTGCAAACCAGTGCGCGCCTCCGCAATCGCCGACACAGCGGGACGGCGAGACGAGACTCGGCAGCGCTTCGACCCGACCCGACGACGTTGGCCACGCAAAATCGCAAAGCGATGACGTTGCAGCGGGAGCGACGCACAACTCTCGACGGGTGTTTAGGCCTTCTTTGCGGTTTCTTTGCAGTTTCTCTCTTTCTCTTCCTTTTTGCTGAGCAATGAGGTTTATTAATGTAATATTGATGTCAGTTTGTCAAATTCACAACTAAAAATATTGATTATGTCGGATGGCCAGCGCCCGTCGTTCCCGATCAGTGAATATGAAATAAAAAGACAGAGTGAAAACAGCGAACGTTTTCTCTACTTCAAAAGACTAATTTACTTCTGTCTTGAAATAGAATTTCAAGAATGCCTACAAAGGCATTCTTGTAATTTTATTTCACGCCCTATTTTAATCCACCTAGCAGAAAATTAAAACGTGGTGGTTTGTTACCATTCCAAATATATTATTATTTTCAATGGAAGAGATTGTAATAATGCCTACAAAATTACAACTTACAGGTATCGCGTGTATTACAACGAATGCACCACACAAATTGTAAAGCAACCTCTTACACTTTTAGGAAAGTCTTGGGCTTATACTTGTAAAAAGGATCTAACAAGATTATTTCACACGAGCAGTCTCTGAGCGCGTTTTTATACGTTTGTTAAGAAAGTTGATTTCCGAATGAAAATTGTTCTTACTGAGTCGGCGTTAACCCTCGGACGTTTGGGACTCATAAATATTTGCCTTAGTTTCTACTGGTGCGGTTTGTTTCATTCCACCCCCTTCGAAAATCGCGCGACTCTTGCTTTTTCTATGACCAATAAAACTATTTTGTTATGTGCAGTCTGCAATATTATACGAAAGACACAACATGGAATAGCTGAAGTACACGCGATGTATTTGTACCCTTGCGTACTCGCCTTTCAAGGCCTTGTGGTAGATAATACCTAGATTAGATTCATGGCAAACATTGGACACCTCATAGAACCAAAAATGTCTAACGACGTTGCCACTGTGGCGTGTATCGGGGAGTTCTTTAAACGAAATTTAACTGAATCATAAAAAATATATTCCTACGTTATTAATATTCAATATTCTTCTGATGTTTTGACCATTTATCACAAGGGAACATATGCATTTATTTTTTAATCAATACTCACGGATAATGCCAAAATATTCCATTAAATGGGAAATTAAAGGATGATATTTTAATACTCATTTTAATTTTAATATTTCATAGAATCTCCTAATCCATAATTTTTTGCTAAAATGTCCACATAAATCGTGCCAAAACCTATTCCATTATAGTACTGAACCTGTCAGCATTGTGCTTAAAGGTCAATAGTCGCTGTCTGACACGAAATCAGGATTATCATCTTATGCCAGCAGGTGAGAAAATCAAGAATGTGATTAAAGTGACTATTGCGACCGTAATGCGCAGCGCTCTAGAGTTGTAACAACACCTACATTTAGTTTCCAACTAACAACTATACAAAATATGGAAGTTCTTGCGAAGAGGAAATAAATATCGAAGTCATTTAAATTTACATGTATAGTTTCAGCATAAGATTCTGTAACCCGCATAACTCATCTTTACAGTAGGATTTTCTACTATAATTTTGTAGATTCAAAATTTGCATTCAGTCAATTAGTTTTTAACGTTAGGATAAAGAATCATTAACTATACTCACCCTCTTTCCTCCTGTTGTCTCGATTACAGCATGAATAGTAGAGGTTCGAGTATTCCAGACCTATAACAATAAAAATAAGTACTTTCAAACAAAAGAAATGTATTTTTCTATGTTAATTGTTTCAGGAAAAGGCATGACGTTATGAACATGAATCCATTCGAAGTTGAGAGAACATGGATTGTAAATAGATTAGTACGAGCTAACAAAATATTTTTGTTTCACAAATTAGATGATAGAACCAATAATTCCACGAACATGATTCGACGAAAGAAAGGGGAAAAAATAAAACTCGTGGACATTACTGGGTACTCAATAATTTCAATAGAGAAGAAATAGCGTGGATAGTTCCGACGGCAATAGCTGTGCGCTAGGATTATTTCTTCGGGTCGATCGATTTCGATACTCTCTTAATATCTCTTATTTTAAAACATGTATAAATCTATTTCGATTCTTAAGATTTCACTATTATGATGGATGGAATTCTTAATATTTCGCAGAACACAACGCAAGATCCGCTGCACTAGATGAAAAGATAACATCGTGAGTAACCGTGTAACACCTTGGACAACTCCCTGGAGCAAGCACTTGAAAAACTGTTTCTGGAAAAGAAGCTTGCCAGAGGGGTGTGGTCCAATGAAAATCGATTCTTTCGTATTTTCGCGTGGAACATGGATCCATTCGGTTTCACCACGCAGTCCACGTCAAATTGGGCGAAACAGGAGTAGTGACACCGTCAGCCAACACTATTACTTTCCAACCACCTTTTCGTTTGCATTAACACTTCCGCTCCATCTTTTCAACAGCAACGTGCTAGAACATTCCGATATCCTCACAGACGGAGACACAAAAATCTTACTCTATTTTCGCGCGTCCGGCTCTTCGCGCGCACGCTGACAGGACAAACTGTCCTGTGTGTCGCACTTTGATCATATATCAAAAACGCACGCAACCGCACCTCTACTGAGTGGCGCGACAGCGACAGCGACGGCGGCGGATGGCGAAGAGGGACGGGCACGCACGCACACGCGCACACACATCACACGCACACGCGCGCTCGCCTGCAGCAGCGCTAATCAGAGAGCGCAACGGCTGCGGCGCCCTCCGCGCTGCCCTAATTGGAGCTCACCCCGCCCACGCTCCGCTCCGCTCCCCGGTCGCAGGTAGGTTGCAGGTAGGACCTGCCGTCCATTAGTCCCGTGTTTCTCAACCGGCATGGCATCGGTGTTAGCGGGAAGCGGGAGGTGGCTCGGAAATTCTGTCACGTGCTATGAGCGCATTCGAATGGCGCGGACGACCACGGTACTGCACAACACTGTAGCTTCGTTTTTTGAATATAGCACAGGCGACTTAAGTTTTTTAAAATTTTTTAATTTTTTTTTTAAATTTTCTGCGAGTGGTTTTGAAGAGGCAAATAATCACGCAATACGATATGCAATCTAAATCAGTTCTCATAATTACTTATAAAAATAACATTTCTGCATGTATACAGAAATGAATACATTTAAACGCATCGCGAAATATTTTAATGATGAAAATAAATTACAAAAGTGGAGAGAATCGCATTGAGTGCAAGACTAACACACTTCAGAAAGTGATTCCATTTAAAAAACTGAAAATTGAAATTGAAATTGAGAAGAAAAGGGTTTTAATTGAAAAGAAGTGGGTCACGAATGCACATTACACCAATTGTGACGACTACCATTTAATGTACTAATACCGACCACATGACCTGCACTGAATTCTTGACATTGGGATTTTTTATCTGCATGGTAACTTTTTTAACAGGGAAGAAGTTTAAGTAAGAGTTAATGATACAAAAACAGTATTTGAATTAAGATTATAAAGACATACAGCTAAATGTTTACGTAAGTGTGTACAAACAACAGTATGTTTTGTTTATTGCTATTTTTAGGCTGAATGTGGGAAGAAAGCTACGTACTCCTGAAGTAAAAACACCAAGCATGGCGTAAGAATGACATACATGGAACAAAGGAATACAAGGACCCACGTTATATTTCAATCAACCGAACGGATAAGGATGAAGTTACGATTTGCAGACACACCCTGCGGACGACCACTTCAAGTCACCCACCCCCATCTCCACCTTCCTCTTGTAATCGCTCTTGAACCCCCCGCGATGCGCTTTTCACGGAGCAAACTCCTTGTGAGGCGCGGTGCTCCTCCTGATGACAGGCCGACGGTCCACGGTCAGAATTAGCGCCCCGCCCCTCCCCAAGAACTCCGTGGCCTCTAAATCTCCCGGCTGGGGGCAGCACGCGGTCCCAGCTGGTGCCGGTCGCAGCATATCGCCACCATGACTGAGCATACTCTCCGCTGCGCGCAGAGCATGGTGAAGGCGACAATTCAAGTCGCAACAGGCGCAGAGGCAAAAGTGAAATCAAGGAAATAGATCTGCGCTTAGCTTTGCCCAGATTCGCCCAGACACACACAGCATGTTAAAAGGAGATAGAGACCTTTCACTGGTGAAGCACTGCTTTTTTCGATGCCGAACCACACTACTCGTAAAGACTTCAGAAAGACGATTTGCGCCTCACTCAGAAATGTTCAAGGAGCCGGATATTAATCGTTAAGTAGACGTATTCCAAAGTAAAACGGTCGAGAGAGCGGTTCGCCAGTCTTGCTAACTTTCTTCATTACACCGTGGATATGTAAATTGGAATGAGACTCTTCTTTCTCTTGCACTTCTGTTTCTCAGGGTTCTCTCCCATTTCTTCATATCTTGCAGTGCTTTATTTATTCGTTTTTTCTTTTGGCAGCTGAGGAAGGAAATCACCACGACTGCTATAATGAATGTCAATTCCTAATTTATAATTAGAAATTACTACGTTGGGATATATTGTACAAAAATACTGAATACTCTTGACACGTAAATTATTAGACTAGTGTGTTTATCACTTACCTAGTCGTGCCTCACGTCGTGTTAAAACATCGTAATTATAGACAATTAAACACCACAGTCAGGAGTGAAAACGATTGCAGATCAGATATTTCGCTGGGTAGTCAATCGATCGACTATACAGTCTATGAACTTATTAAATTGAAAATATTGACATAGGAAATCCCTACACAGTGCATTCTTATTAAATTTATTTATTCTACGACTAAACATTTTTTATTTCCTCACCCTCACAGAAAAAACTTAAACGTATATTATGTTATTTGTAGCTGGATATGTTGGGCCTATAAACACTGATTGTTATTCTTTTTTCAATTATTATAGTCTTAATTCCTGCATACTTACATTAAGGGATTTATAACAAAGAGACTTTTACTAGAATTCTATTAATAGGCATTGTGTGAACTATACGACGCCACATAGGCGAGACAACACCATGAGAATTGTAAACTATATCCTAATGTTACAACTTTTTTAGAAGTCTTGTGTTTTTATTTACATTGGAATACAAGAATCTAATCAATAATTTATTATCACACGCAACAGGGCTCTTGATTGTCGTTTTAAATCTTAGTTAGAAAGTTATGTGTACTCCGTAGAGACAGGAATCGTCTGTAACTTTGACTAGGACTGCTAAGGAATCAAACGCTTAGTTATGCAGTTACGACCAAAGCCTTGGGGCAAGGGACTACGATTGGCCTCATTCCACATACATCGTTCTACCTTAGGGCTTCAATACCTCATTAATATTCCCTTAAGTTGGTCCTAGCTTTCGCTGTTTGTTTTTCATTTCCCCCCTTCTTAAACGCCTCAGTCGTCTGGCGTGCCTGCGCTGTCTCTCGTGGGAGCAATGAAGAACTGTTAAGTTCACCTCCACAGTTAGTGAAGCCACAAACACGCGCGGACCGTGAATAGAAACCGCTGCTGGAATAAACCAATCGGCATGAATCACGGGCTTGACGCTCGGCGGGCCTTTGAGAGTTTATCGTAGTAATAAACGCCGTATTCAGATGGATGCCATAACCTCACTACTGTAACTCTTCCATCAGGAACCAAAAAATTGGTCTACGACTTTGCCACTGTTCGTTGTATCGGTGATTCTTTAAAATCTAAATTTAACTGGAGCATAAAAAAATATATTCTCGGTTATTATATTCAATGTCTTGCTGATGTTTGACATTTATGACAAACATATGCATTTATTTTTTAATCAATACTCATCATGTTGGATAAAGCCAAAAATATTCCATTAAATGTGAAATAAGTTGAGAATATTAATACTCATTTAATTTAATCTTTTATAGGAATCTATCCTAATCCATAATTTTCCTAAAATGTCCACATATTAATCTCCAAAAATAAGTGAAACCTATTCATTTATAGGGTACTAGACCTGTCAACTTGCTGGTAAAGTCAAGGGTACGCTGTCTGGAACTCGAAACAGGATTATCACTCTCATGGCATGGCAGGGTTAGGAAATCAATATGTATGGGTGGATTAAAGTGGGTATTCGAAGGGAGTAATTCGCGTCCTCTAAGTTCTCGCGCGAAGAAATAGATTTCTGAAGTCATGTTAATTGATATGGTTGCATCACATTAAGATTCTTAAATCTACATAACTCATTCTACTGTATTACAGGTAATTTTCTTAAAACTTAATAATTTTTGGTAGGGATTCTAATTAAATTTGGCATTCAGGTGTCAATTATTTTTACGATTAGGTATCAAGGGATCATTAACATATACACACGATACCTCTTTCTCCCTGGTGTGTGGAGATTACAAGGCAATTGGAATAGGTAAAGAGTTATCGGGAGGGTATTTCACAGCCTATAACATAAAAATAAGTAATTACTTTTCAAACAAAAGAAAATGGGACATTTTTCTATGGTTAATTGTGTCAGGATAAAGGCATGAGTTATGACATAAATTCCATTCGAAGTTGAGAGAAATGATTGTTAAATAGATTTAGTACGAGCTAACTAAGATTATTTTTGTTTCACAAAGTAGAATTGATAGAACCCTATAATTCCTACGAAGAACATGAATTCGATCGATACAAATGGGGAATATAATATAAACTCGTGGACATTTCTGGGTATAATACAATAATTTCAAATAGAGAGAAATAGCAGTGGATAGTACCGAACGGTCACATAAGCTGTGCGTCTAAGGATTATTTCTTCGGGTCGAAGGTCGATATTCGATACTCTCTTAAATTATCTTCTATTAAAATTATGATATAATCTGATTTCGATTCTTTAAGATTCATACTATTATGGATGGATAGAATTTAATATCGGCAGCAACAACATTACGCAAAGAACGCTGCACTAGATGTTAAAAGATTAACATCGTGAGTAACCAGTGTAACACACTTGGACATCTCCCTGGAGCAAGCAACTTGAAAAACTGTTTCTGGAAAAGAAGCTTTGCAGGGGGTGTGGTCCAATGTAAATCGATTCTTTCCGTATTTTCCGCTGTGGAACAGGATCCATTTCGGTTTCACCACGCAGCCCACGTCAAATGGGCGAAACAGGAGAGTGAACCGATCAGCCAACACTATTTACTTTCTCCAATCCACACTTTTTCGTTTCATTAAACACTTCGCTCCATCTTTTCAACAGCAATCGTGTAGATAATTCCGAAATCCTCACAGACTGTGAGACACAAATCTTACTCTCTTTCGCGCTTACCTCGGCCTTTCGCGCGCAACGCTGACAGGACAGTTTTCGCACGTTTGACATATATCAAAAACGATGTGAGCACTGCGAACACGCACCTCTACTGAGTGGGCTGCGACAGCGAACAGCGACGGCGGTGGATGGCGAAGAGGGGGAGGGCCACGACGTGCGTATGAAAGATGGGTGACATTCATTACAAATGTAGATATTAAGATCAAGGCAGGTAGCAACGCACAGGTATTACGTATGTACGGCAACACAATCACACACACACAGACGATCAAAGTACCGCCTCACACGCACACCCCCGCGCCGCGCGCGCTCGCCTGCAGAGCATCGCTAAACAAAGCAGAGAGTCGGCAACGGCTTGGCGCAGCGGCGCCCTATCGTCGCGCTGGCCCTACATTGGAGGCTCACCCCGCCCCAGAGACCCACCACAGACCCCCACCAGTCCTCAAGGCGAATTCCGACGGCCATATCAGACGGGGCTTTCCGCCCACATCCCCCGGCGTCGCAGGGTAGGGCTGCAGTAGACCCTTCTGGGCCGGTCCGTTAAGCATGTTCCTGTGTTTCTTGTCAGCTCTTCAACCCGCATGGCATGGGTTCAGCGGGAAGCGGGAGGTTAGGCTTCTCGGCAAAATTCGTCATACGCGCTATGAGACATTCGAATGGCACTGATAACGGGAACAGGAATCAGTAGACTCGAGTGGAACGGGCGATACATTGCACATCGAGGCCCAGGACACCAGACCGCGAACGGTACTCGGCACTGCCGCACCACCAGAAACGGACTGGTACAGGTTCGTATTCCAAATATCGAGGCACAGGCCGATTACCGTTCAGTTATTTTTATTTTTTTTATTTTCCAGATGTGGCGAGTCGGTTTAAGGAAAGAGACAATACATCGTGGCAAGGCTCTAAATCAAATGCTGCTCAGATACCATTACTAGTATAAAAAGAACATTCTGGCATGTATTACAGAAATGAATAAATTTAAACACGCATCCGGAATATTTTAATGATGAAAATAAAGTTAACAAAAGTGGGGAGGAATCGCATTGAGCAGACTACAAACCTTCAGAACGATTCCATTTAAAAACCTGAAAATTGGAAAAATTGATAATGAGCTAAAGAGGGTTTAAACCTGAAAAGAAGTGGATCACGAATGCACTTACACCAATTGTGACGAACTACGATTTTAATGTAACTAATCCAGACCCATGATTGCACTGAATCTGACATTTGGATTTTTTATGCTGCATGATAAACTCTTTAAAAGGGTGGAAGTACCGTAAGTGTGTACACAACACAGTAATGTTTGCTTTATTGCTATTTTAGGCTGAAAATGTGGGAAGAAAGCTTCGTATCCTGAGTAAAACACCGAAAGCATGGGAAGAATGACACATACATGGAAACAAAGGAATACAAGGAGCACGTTATATTTCAATCAACCGAACGGATAAGGAGTGAGTTACGATTTGCAGAACACACCCACTGCGGACGACCACTTAAGTCACCCACCCCACTTCCCACCTTCCTTTTGCAATCGCTCTTGACACCCGCGATGCGCTTTCACACGGAGCTACTCCTTGTGGAGGCGCGGTGCTCCTCGCTGAGACAGGCCCGACGTCCCACGGTCAGAATTACGCAACCGCCCCGCCCGCCTGCCCGCCCCCCGCTTCCTCCGGCAGAACAAGGGCGGGGCTTGATTGAGAGCGCAGGGCCTTTGTGTGCGGCCGCGCAGCGCCGTGGCTGCTGAGCTTCGGAAGCTCAACTTCCCAAGTTTGTCGGCTGCTGCCCATCGGATCCACAGAAGCCGTACGCGCCGGGGTTGCGAGTGGTGGGCAGGCGGGGCGGGCGGGGCGGGGCGGGGCGGGGCGGTCCGGGTGGGGAAAGGGAAGGGGAGAGAGGGGAAAGGACAGAGCGAGAAAGGAGGGCGAGCAGGGCGAGCAGGGCGGGGGCAGGGGGGGCAAGGTGTCGGGGCAAAGTAGGGCGGGCGCGGAGAGGGGCGGTGAGGCGGGCGGGAGCGGTCGAGAAGGGCGGCGCGGAAGGGAGGCGGGTAGGAGCGGGCGGAGCGGGCCGGGGTAGGGCGGGGAGCGGGCGGGGTACGGGTAGGGAGGGGGTACGGTAGGGCGGGTAAGGCGATGGCGGGGTTGGCGGGCCGGGGCGGGT